TGCAGTCTTGAATTGAACCAGATCAGTGAACTTCAGTGTATGTGACTTTAAAAATAGTGGATTGGTACATTCCAGATGTCCAGTATTATTCATGATTCTTATTGCTCTTCTTTGTCATGTGCATAATGGCTGCAGGTTGGTTTTGTAGGTGTTACCCCACATCTCCACACAGTCACTCAGGTACAGTAATATGAGTGCACTGTGGAGTGTATGGAGTGATTGATGGTCCAGAATGTGTCTTGATTTTCCAAGTATGGATATATTAAAAATATTTGTGGTTTCCAGAAGATTTTATGGTCTATAATTACGCCAAGAAATTTATTTTTGTCGACTCTTTTTATACATACGTTGTCAGGTTCCAGTTTTATTTGAGGATTTTGTTTTATATATGTTTTGTTTCCCAAATAGCATGATCTTTGTTTTGCTTAAATGTAATGATACTTTATTCACGTCAAACCATCGTTTAGTTCAATCATTTGTGATGTGATCATCGCCAAAAGCTGCTGCAAATTGTCACCAGAACAGAGAATATTTGTGTCATGTGCAAATTAAATACATTTCATAATTATTGGCACCCCTGGTTAAGATGTGTTTAAAGCCTTAAAATAAATTCAGTTTTTATTGCAGAAGCATCCTGTCACACTGAAGACTGTAGAAAAATGTGACCTTCAACTTAACTCAAATGAATTGTTGTCCAAGGGGGTTGTACAGAGTGTTAACATCAAGGCTGCTGATAACTGTGGCTCACATGATCTGATGTAAAAGAATTATTTTTTTATGTGGGAGTTTTTTCACACTGAATAAATGCACCTGAATTAAAGGTTGAATTTTCCTCTTTTTTTTCATTGTGATCCTAAATTATTTAGAAAAAAAACTGAATTTACTAGAAGCTAAAGAACACATCTTAACCAATAATTATGGAGGGTGCTGTACAATAAAAAGCTCTGGACGTAGAACTGGCCCCTGTGGCACTCCACAGGATATGTTTCTGTGAGTTCATTTATGCTCACCAGTTTCCACAAATTATTGATGTTTCTTAAATAGCTACTCAACCAGTCCAATCCAACCCCTCTGATGCCATACCTTTCCAGTTTTTTAATCAAGACATCATGATTGATGGTGTCAAATGCTTTCTTTAAATCTATAAAAATTCCTATTGCATATTTCATGCTGTCTATGCTGTTTGTGATTTCCTCACTTCGTTCCATTAGTGCTAAAGATGTTGATCTGTCTGTTCAGAATCCACATTGACCGCCAACTAAGAGCTTGTGTGTTTCAATAAAATTGTCCAGTCTTTCTGCAAATAGTTTTTAAGGGTTTTGGAGAATTGGGAGAGTAAAGAAACAGGCCTACCATTTGTGTAATGGTGTCTATGTCCAGTCTTATATAATGGTATTACCTCTGCTATTTTCATTTGTTTGGAAATTTACCGGTTTGAAAAGACAAGTTACATATTATGTGTGTTAATGGTTCTACAATCTCTTCAAAACATTTTTAACAAATACCATATCAATG